TTGGAACAAATAACCTCATATACCAATTAATTTTTTTTGGTAATAAATAATTCTTATAATATTACCTCAAAAATATTTATAAAAATTAATTCAAATATTTTTTAGGTTCTATAAGTATTTGAAAATATTAAGTACTTAACATAAATATTCTTCTTTATATTATGCATGATGCATTTCAAGAAATCAACCTTAAAAAAATAGTTTATTTTTATTTTTATTAGTCTATTTTTCATGTTTATTCATTTGATCTAAGATACATATAGATTTATACGTATATTCAATAGTAAGAATTATAAATAAAACATAAATAAATAATATAAAATATTCAATAAATAACTACATTAAGATATAATAAAAAAGACATATATATATATATATATACATATAAAGAAGCATAAGATATTTAAATATTCTTTTTTTAATTTTTTTAATATTATTTTAATTTTTTAGTCTTTACATAATAATTTAATTAGTAAAAAATAAATCTTTTAACTTAATATAAGCTTGAAGTATTAAATGTTGTTAATATGGAACATTCATTGGATCAAAAGGTCACTAAATCCTCCTAAAAGATTACAATTATTACAATATAACAACTAAAATATTACAATTATCTTATAACAAGGATTTAGAATTAAGGACTTAATTAGTTAATGTATTAACATTTATTAGTGATGCTAATTTAATCTGATGTAATTTAAATATATATTTTTACTATATTAAACTTTAATAAAATAATATATTTTTTAAAGTGATAAATAACTTTATTTTAAAATCAAAAACCAAAATCAATAATATTATCAAGATTTTGCATATAGTATTAATTGGTTTTTAAAATACTATTTTTTAATAGGTTAGAATCGTGAAAAGAATTTTGAATAAACTAGTTTAAAAAAACAGTAGTGTAAAAAGAAATATTTAAAAATTAATTTAGAGTTTCTGGTATAAGAGAAAATTTAGAAAAATATTAACTTTAAATATGTTAAGATATCAATTTCAAAAATCATAAAGTGTCAACTTTTTAAAATAATCAAGGTATCAACTCTAAAGATTTTTTAATATCTTTTAGGATATCAATAGGTCTTGAGAAAAATAGAAGGTAGTCACAATACTTTTCATGGTCATATTACTTGAATCATCTTAAAGACTTTCTTGATGTATACAGAATATGGACTAGTACAATTATCTTTTTTAATAAATAAATATTGTGAATGTAATCTATTTGTGTATGTATGTACTAGAAAAGATAATATATATATATATATATATATATATATACATAAAGACATATATAAATTAGAAGATGTAGATAATTAAAAGAACCAATTAATGTATGTGAATTTTAGTATAAGATGGTAGTGTTTTGGTGCTATATTTTTAAGCATATGTAATCATGAGTATAATTAAAGTAATAGTATGTAATACCTAAATAATAAAATAAAATAAAAAAATAAAAATAAAAAGGAGGTGTGAGAACTAATAAGAAAAAATAGAAGTTGCATATTTGTACCCACAAAGTAACTAGGTGTTAATAAAATATGCAAGCAACAACTAAGAATCACAAGTGGTGTAATATGAAAAATACTGATGTGATATTATTAAGAAGAAAATATAAAGAACCAACAATGTATCAAAGATGCAATCAAGTAAATTTTAGAAAGGCAAACTAAAAGAATGTTAAAAAAGAAGAATCAACACATACATGATTAGCTTAGAAAATAAGGAGACTGACAAAAAAAAAACAAGCAACAAGGGAATCGTCACAATGTGGACCATTGATATTGTAGTAGAAAGAAGTTAAAGAAATATAGCAATTTGGATGGAAAAATATTCAAGTACAAGTGAAACAAAAAAAAACTAATTTATAATATAAGAAATTATAAAATGGCTAAAAACTAATTACAAAATATATATATATATATATATATATATATATAAAGTATCAAAATAAGAATGATTAAAAAAAATATTGATAGAAGTTCAAAATTTAGAATAGATTATTTTGAAAGTAGCATGAGCTGGAAAAATTATTAGATATTATTTTTGAAAATTAAAAAAACTAGGTGGATTTATGGTGTATTAAACTTTAAAATATAATAAAAAATAAAGTATTATTATCTCATCTTAGATGGATCCAACTTCTATCTTCTTATACTAAAAATTGCAATCTACGTCTAATAATATTAATGAGAAAAATGTTTCTTTTTTCTTTATTTGCCCATAAGCTTAAAGTACTTAGCTTTTATTGAAATTTTTTGATACAATTTCTTTCAAAAAAATTAGATAATGTTTTTTTAAAATGTGTTCTTTGAAACTTTTAAATAATTACATAGATGCATATTTTATTTGATACATTTTAATATAAAAAAATTATATAATTATTATAAAAATAAAATAAATTCTTCATGTACATACTTAATTTTTTATTTATCTAACATAGAATTAGATCCAATTCTAAGTTTTTTCTTTGTACTCACATTCTAAGAAAGTTTTCAATTTTTATCCAATCAATTTAATAAGTTTTGATACATGTTATTTGTATAATAAAATTTTTCTTACATCATTCATAATCCTATTACTCATTAAAACAGGCTCTATAGCTCTAAATTTGGAACATAGGTTTGAATTTCTAAAAAAGTAGTTGTAGGAAATAGTAAATCTTTGTGTAAAATACTTGAGATAAATTATAAAATTCTATAGACATGGTAATATATTTACTTTGGAATTGATAGAGAAAAGTTATAAATTAAAAACAAATATCTATGCAAAACTTGTAGCAATATTCTGTGAAAATTACAAGTAATGTTAGAACTTTAGACAATAATTAAATCATAAATAAAATAATGTATACCTTTATGAAATTATATTCAAAAAAATCAAACTACATCAAATAAAGTTGATATTTGACTTACAAAATATCAACTTAAATTATATATGATATGATCCTTTATAAAATATTAGTAATTATGCTAATAAATCCGTGAGGATACAATCTTCTAATTTTTTTTTGTTGACCCTTGGTTTGAAAACACCACGACATTTCCAGAGATGTTTTCATCCCTCTCAAAGCTTAAGGTCAATCAAGTAGTGACCAGGAGCCATTTGTTTACATTTACAACCAAATTGCGACAGTTTTGTATTCTTGGTTGCAATCGACTTTGTGGAGAGATAGATGCATTCTTACTGTTTGATTGTGCAGCTCCAACCCAAATGCATTCCATGAATCGCACTTTTCATGTTAGTCACCTCTCGAAGGTTCTGTATTTCAGTTGAAACTCGATCATGTCTTCATTTCGATCGCACTGATTTCAGGGTTATTTTTTCCAAAAAGCATGTCTGAAAGAAGTTGAACTGGAGTGACAAATAGAGAGAATTTGCTTTGCATACACACAATACAATAAATGGTGTTGCAGTCAAATGGGATTGCTTCATTACAAGCCAGAATCTTGCTTCATTTTGTAGCAGTACCTGTATTTTGCTTCATTTTATCACAAGCAAAGAACTATGAGCTCAACCACCGATTGCAGCGTCGACAGTTTGATGCCAAGTATCCTCCTTCAGAGAGTCGCTTGCCTGAAATTAATTCGTGGCTAGACTTTGAGAATCGCCGCAGAAACCAATGAACCGGTAGTTTGTCCGACAAAGAGGTTGAACTGGTAATTTTCACAGTTCGAATACTTGTGCAAATTGCAAAAATAAGTGAAGATGTAAGTGCTTTTGCATCCTAATAGCAGCCATTGTTTCTTCGTTTGCTCATGAGCATTGTCATTGCTTTGTTCCTTTTTGCTTTGTTCTTTCCTGCTCCAAATCTGTTCAAGTAAACGTCTAAGAAAAAAAATAGCGTATGCTACCTGCGCAGGTCACACCCAAATGCAAAAACTAGCAAATCACACTCTCATTTCTCCATCCTCCGAACGCTTTCTTCAATTTACCACGTCTCACACATGCTACTCAATACCATCAGCGTGGCCATCGAAGAGGGACTCTTGTGGCCATGGTTGGTAACAATCTTATTTGAAGTTTTAATTTTTGTTTCTTCAACACTAAACAAATGAAATAATTCAATTGGAAATCATATAGAATATCATTCTTGTGTATTTTTTAATCCAATGTTTTTACTTGAATCACATAAGATGCGCCATTGCTAGTGTGAGTGTATATATATATATATATATATATGAATTATAATTAATGTTGGTATTTTTATGCTTCTTTGTGCTTCATCATCTATTATTCTTTTAATTTTATCTTTAAAATATATAAAAAGATTCAATTTCTAATTCCTATTTCATTATCTTCATGCTCCATCAACCCAATTTAAGTAAGGAAGTTTATATAAGTTTATGTTTCTAATTGCTATCTAATAGGTGCTTTATTTTTTTAGATTTTAGTCTTATTAGTAGATACATTATAAGATTATATTGGTGAAACATGAATCATATGTATTTTTTACTATTTAAAATATAGAAATTGTGCTAACTTTCCATCCTTCTAAAGAGCAGAAAAGCAACGCAAACCACATGAACACATGAACCCTGGATTCGGTTTCGGAATTGATGGTGAATGGGGATTGCGAGAGTATCTCGTCAAAGTAGAGTGAAGTTTGTGTGTCGATTCCTTGTGTCATCCTTGAAGCAACCCAGTTTCTAGAAGTAGAATAACCCATGTGTCTTGTCTCAGGTGGGGAACAAAATCATGTTTGGAAAGAGTTGTGAAGCTTCTTTCGATACGGCTATGATACCAAGCACCCCGTTCAAAGCACCCGTAACTAGACATCCTCGGGGCGGTGATACGATTCGAGCTGAAACTGGGGTTAACTGCTGTCTGATCACAGCAAGTGAGTTTGTGCTCAGAGCGGTGGATTAGAACTATTCGTGTGTTTTACATCATGGTACTTAGTCCGAATCCATCGACAAGCCAACCACTGATTCATACATTGAGAGGCCTACGCTCACACCAGTGACGGGGTTCATGAGATTCGAACAGGAATGGAGATTCAATGATCCGACAAAAAACCAGAAAACAGTAGCTTGGAGATTGAAAAGAACTTGGCCAACTACCAAAGTTAGCCAGTTACATGTGATCAATGAAGAAAATCTCCTTGGACGAACAGGTAGTGATGTTCAAGTGGGTCATGTAACTGAAACACCATCGTAGTCGCTCAGGCTCAACATCTAGAATACAACCATTATGCACAAAGACTCCAATTACCTTAACATCGTAGATACTTTGAGTACGATGAAAAGATTAAGGCCTGGGTCGCTCTTAACTAACTCGATCTCGACTACATAGCTCACACACGGCGTGCCTAAATGAAATACGCAAGGGGTCTGGTAATATCAAAATCAAGTGTATTCACATCACAACAGGCCGATGAATCGAATTATCGAGAATGTTCCTGTTAGAGAATTCGACCCATCGTCCTGTTTCTGTCGTGCGCAGGGTTCCGAATGCGGTGACTGTAGCCTGTCAACGCCAAACAACTGCTTCCTCCAAGCGGTAAGGGCTTTGGAAGAGGGAGTAAAACACACCTTCCGGCTCCGGCAACAACGCGTCCAAATCGATAAATGGGTTCATCCCCATTTCGATAAATGGTAATGAATCCAGGTCCATACTCCCCTCCCACTCGGGACTGATATGCACTGAAGAGTCGGTGCTGGGTGAAGAAGCAGTTGAGGTCGAGGCGAAAGCGGGTGCTTCGCAATCGACGCATGCGAGGTCCTCAACCTTGAGAGCAGATTCGGTGATGGGTGTAGCAACAGTTGCAGCAGCAGCAGCAATTTTGGGAACTGCTACAGTGCTGAGTGTAGCAGCAGTTTGGGCCGGGACCGCGGCGGGTGCATCACCATTGACGTTGGATGCAAGGTTCCTGATGTTTTGAGCAGCCTCCTTCGCTTGGACCTGCACGAAATTCTTGATCTTTTCGGAGTCGTCCGGATGATCGAGCCTCAGGTTAGCAGGCAAGTGAGGGAATGTTGCTTTGAGGTGGGGGAAATTGTACTGGGTCTTTTTCTTGGTGTAAAAAACCCCCGCATCATATGCTGCGGCCGCTTCAGCATCAGTGCCGTAGGTCCCTAACCAAATGGTGCGTTTCCATTTCGGAGGCCTGATCTCAACAAGGAACCCGCGGACTCCTGCGCGCTGCCGAACGCCCTTGAATGATTGCTGTCTTGTTCTAGAGCCATTCGGAGGCCTACCCCGTGGTTTCGTAGGAGGCGCGAATGACGAGGAAGACGCTATTCGCGGAGACTTGGAGCGCGGTCTGGTAACTCTCTTACATTGCTGAGCAAGTGGACTGGCAGCACCATCGACCTCAGCCAGAACATTAACCGCTGCGGGTAACGCAGCTGGGGTGTAGTCTGTCGATCTCCAAACGACTGGTTTCACTCCACATTTCTCGTCTATGTAAGCATCTTGGCAGTTCAAACATCTTCCGTAAAATTCCGACTTGATACCAGTGCCGCAGGAGCACGATGCCCAGCCTGGGAGACCACTGCACTCTAATAGCTGAGTGTCGACATCACGATAGTGGTGGGACTCGTCCAAATCCGGCATCTTTACCAACAGCAAAATAAACTTCTGTCAAGGGAAATTCCACGCACTGAAACGTTCGAGTTATCGTCTGTACGAGCTAAAGAACTTATCCGAAATCTCATTCACCGCATCATGATATTTTAAGCCATCCCTCTCTGGCATGCTGTAGATTCCACTGCACAATCAAGGATGTTGACAAGATAAGCAAGATACTCCTTCAGAAGCCCAAAACCTGTGTTCGCGCCACTTGCACGACTCCTTTCTGATTGGAAAAGACAGTAGTCTCAACTATCCATCATTCTGAGACACTACTGCAAAGTATACATAACTAGCAGTAGGAAGCTAACGGTCACTTCATGCTTTGTATTTCGTGGGTAGGTGGATTGCGAATACGAGGCGAGGCTAAGGAACCGTGCCTGCCGACTACTCGTAAAGTGCACATCAATACAACCAGAACAATCATTCATGAGAAGAAAAAAAAAAAAAAAAAAAAAAAAAAAACTGCGAAATAAACGCTAACCCCCCTTAGATTCGACCATTGTTGGCGCGACTAAAGTGAGATAGTTGCATCTATGTAAGAAATTTTCATGGACAAGTCCCATTCCTTAGACGGTTTACAACAGCGGAGTCATCACTCTAGTCCACGGTATCCACCGTACTCGACAAACTTATTCATCGAGCATTCTTTTCTCGTTACATTTGTTAAAGTGAACATCTGTGAAGGCTTTCAAGAATTCTCACCTTCAAACCGGGGGAGACATCGAATCCACGCAGCTACTTCACGGCACGCTCACACATTCTTTGAACAACCTTCCTTGCAGGCTGGACGTGTTCTTACGCTGTCTGCAGTCACTCACTCACTCACTCACTCGCTCCAGCGCGAAGCCACAAACGTCGGCCAAAAAACCCGCAACAGAAAAAGAAAATAATACTAATACTAAGAACGTCACCTTCACACAACACTCACACTCATATAATTTCTCACTCTCATCAACATCGCCAAACACAGTCACAGTCAAATTCGCACTTATAGGGCTAATGGGTCCTGGCGAGGTGATCCTTTGCAGCACACATACAAGCCAAAAAGTCCCAAGCAGAGCAGAACTAAGTCCAACACAAACTAGTTCGCTTAGGCAAGCAATAAAGCATAAATATGCAAGAGGAAGGAGCAGAGGACCTGCAGATTATACAAGGGATCAGGTCCGGGCTTTCCAGCCAAAGCAAACACACGCGAACGTCGGAAAAACAACAGTGTCTGCAAATCGATGCGTCGTCCGTGTGGCAAAACCAGGTTGAGGCAGATCGAGGACGACGACGAGTCAGCAGACACGGCGCGGGCCCCTTCTGTCGGAAATCGTGCCCATGCGAAGCCGCTGCCTGGAAGAAGACGACAAAGAAGAAGCAACGAACAATCTCGTCTGCGCCGCGCTGTTATTACTCTGTCCCTCGTCATGGGAAAAATAAGCAAATAAAAAATACTGATATTTTACGATGGATCCTATGTGAATTTACCCTAGTGGATGAAAACATGGCATGAAGTCCCTCACTTGCCAAAAGTTGAAAACAAATGAAAATTGTGGCGAAAAAATGGATTAAGGGGAAGCAGAAGTAAAAGCCATGACCATGCAAAGTGAGAGACTTTATGGGCCCATAAAGTCCGAGTTCAAATAAGCACCAGAAGGAAATACTTGAAATATTGATGGTGCGTAGAGAAAAGCAAGGCAGGGTTAATATAGAAAACAAAAGGTAAGCTTAGCTTAGAAAGCAAAGACATTGGGCATAACAAATTAGATGACCACCATGCGGTGGCTTTAACACTGAAGTAGGGTGTTGAAATATCAATCTCCCAGCCCACAAACACACGGATGAGATAGATCGGAATCACAGTTAGCATTTTCTCGGACTGGCTTCACACTCGGAAAAGGTTAGAGGACAACACATCCAAACAAAACATTGCACAACAGTAGTCCGTAGGTTCTTGCTTCTATTTTCATTCTAATTAATTATTTCCAAAGCACCTTCGGCGTAGAATATTTGTGCAAGATGTTGATCTGATCCTGGATTGGCTGCTCCTTCAGCGAAACAAACATCCATGAAAAAGTATTAATCAATGGAATGGTGGGCCTATTGAAGTTCATGATTCACCGACTGACAGTACGCTTTCGACATCGTGATGTCATCGGGGCCCACTTAGAACGTCACCCCAAGTAATTTTGTTTGTTTTAGTAAACCGTATCAAATATATATTATATTCTTCGCATGGATAAGTCCTTCTTGTACGGTATGTGTGACGACTTAGCACTACGGGCGAGTTTTGGGTGGTTGGGTTACTAATTCCAGTGTGATTAATGCTTCCCCCACTTGTACAATATCGCATAATAGCAATTGTGATTCAAACCAGTGATCACTGTGATTGCATTGGATAGTTTGGGACATGGAACACAAGTTCTTCATGAACGATTTTTGTGTCTTTTTCTGGGTTGCATTGTTGTCAGTTGTTTGTGAAGCTTGGGAATAGTATTTTGTGCAATGTTGATGTTGTTTTAAGTATGTTTGAAAAAGGATCTGTGTAGTCTATTAATAACAACTAAAAAAACGTACTAAAAGGATTGCTCGTCAACAAACTTCAATGAAGTTTCTGGTATGATTGTTTTGTATTTAATGTGATTTCTTTGTTTCGGTTTTAACTTTTATTGTTACAGCTTCTTCCCATTTATTTACAAAAACATGTATAAAATTTACTAAATTTAAATCAATATAAAAAAGCCTAATATATACATATATATATATATATATATATATATATGATTTTTTAATAGTTGATTAAATTTTTAAAAATCCATAGCATTATACCTCTTATAATTTAACAACTATCAAAACTTAATGCGACAATTAAATTTGATGTTAGTTTATTATTATAAAATCACAAAAAATATCATTTAATAAAAAGTAGTTGGTAAGTTTTCTTTAAGAAAAAATAACACAACAAACAGAGTCAGACACCTTTAAGATCACTATTAGAAGATACAGTAGAAAAAGATGGATAAAAAAATAATAAAACTAAAACAATATTATTCAATTTTTGAATTATATGTTAATATATATATATATATATATATATATATATATTTTAAAGTAAAAAATTTAAAAAATATCATTCTTAAAAAAAAATTAAAAATGTAACGATATTGTTATACTCTATAAGAATGGTAAATAGTTTTTTTCAATAATTATTTTAGAACTATCTTTATAATTTTATGGAAATTCTTATTAACTGCACTTAAAATTTAACTCTCAAGTGGTTATACCCTCAAACCAACTATTCTTCTTCTAAGATTAATTTTGAGTGATGTTTTATTTAACTAAAAAATAATCTACAATGTTAACAAAGTCAAGCAACTAAGTCTTTTATCAAATTCAAACCATTGTCTAACTTATTAGAAAGTAATGTAGTATTTTATAATCAAAAAATAATCAACCATAAAATCTAAAGAATAGATTTTTGTATTTATTTCACAAACTAACTTAAATAAATAAAAATTCGACATATCATAAAATTAATCAAATATAAGTATTTGATGTTTTTTTTCTAAATCAATTTATGGAATTAGTTTTAGAACATTTATTTAAATTAAAAATAAGATTAGCAATAGAAAAAATAAAAAAAGGCATTGAACTCATTAATATAATAGAACATCAAACACTTAGTAAATATGTTAACATTCATATATTCTTTTGTTAGGAAAAAATAGATAGATCAATAACAAGACCAATATCTTTTTTGATTTACTTTTGAATATTAAGTAATATATTGAACAGAAAAAATCAGCATGTCCTTTGCAATGTTGCAAATTATACTGATTACATTTGAAAATTTACTTTAGATTGTCATAGGAAAATAATGAAAAAGTTATATATGTATGTACATGTATATATTTATTTATATATTTAAGGTAAAAAATAAAATCATAATAAAACTTTTATCAGTAAAATAAATAATGACCTTGAATAATGACCTTAACCTGTTAAGTCTATATTTTGTTTGTTTAAGAACAGTGGTATCATCGTTTTATCATTTTTTGAAAAAAAATATTTATATCTTTGTAAGTGGGATCTTTGAAAGTCTGAAGAAATATTTGTGCCGTGGTTAAAAATCTACATCAAAATGTTATCAATTTTGAGTTAGACAAGGAAAAAATAGTAAATTTTCTACACGATTAAGAATGACAATCCTCCTAGCTCGAATAAAAACTTGTGGACCTCAATTCAAAAAATTAAATATACAAGAGCACATATCTATGGACTGATATAGACTGGACCATATATATATAATTTTACTTGGAATTGTTTCTATTTAAAAAATATTGTAAAATAAAACAGTATATTTTTTATGGTCTTGATATTGTAGTATAAAATAGATTTATTTATCAATATGAAAAGTTATTTTAATTTATATATATATATGTGTGTGTGTGTGTGTGTATAAATAAACAGTAGATGTAATAATTCTTCAAAAATATGGATGTACATATTTAGTAAATTATTTTTAATTTTTTTTTGAATAAATTATTTTAGTATTTTGAACTAATTTAAGCTTCTTTTTTTTTATTAATAATGATGGTACTAGCTCTTCAAAACAAGTTCTCCAATACTAAAATTTAAGAACTATAGTAATCTCTTTATTATTATCATTAATCTATTCTTTTATGTTTGAAATGTTAATTATTAAATCTTTGGAGTTGAAGATATTAAAGTGATACTTGCACAATCAGAAGACACTTAGATTTATTTAATTGGTTGCCAATCTTATGTCTTTTTAAAAAGTAATGAAACCTTTATAAAGCTAATTTTTAGTAATTTGTATCAGGGGTTTTACAAAACAAATTACAAAAACATAAGTGTATATATATATGTATATATATATGTATTAGATGCTACAAATAGAAATGAAAATGACACCAATGATTAGATACTATCCTTTCATCAATTAGATGCTTCAAAATTATATATTTTACTTGTTAACATCAAAAGAGGATAGAAGTTTTAAAATTATCTTAAAATTAGTAGTCAATTGATTTGTTCCAATTATATAACATAAGCTATAATTCAGACCACTTAAAATACAACAAATACTCTAATTATAAATTTTATTGATCAACTATTTTACTTGAATTTTATCTTAAGGAAACAAATAATATTATTAAGATTCATTTGACACTACAGAATAATCATTGGTTTCTGAAAGATATTAGAGCAATCATGATTTCTGGCTTATATTTAAATTATACTACTACTTATCATCAAATAATATATTACATAATTTTAAAGAGTATAAATGAGACTGGACATGAACAGTATAGATCAATCATTCATTTTAATATATTTTATTTTATTTCAAAAAAAATTATTGTTATTAACAAAACAACGGTGTAAAGGATTCCAATAAGATCCCTTCAATATTTAAATTGCACTGTGTATTACATGAAGACATAACTGCCTAATTTAACAATTATTATCTTATGGAAGAAAAATAACATACTTTTTTTTATTTTTCTCTGAAGAAGTTAGTGCTGCTTGTTCTAATATCAATAATGGAATTTCACAATGTATTAAATGGAAGGAAACAAAATATTGATCAACTTCTATACGAGGAGAATGTACTATGGTTGGATATTTTCAAAAGAGATTCAACTAATTCAATAATTTTGATAGGTTTCTAAAGCATTTGGTCAATCTGCTTGTTTTATTGCATTATTAGCTCAATGTATCCATTGTACTTTATAAAACAATAGAGTTTACAAAATCCTTTCACCAACAAGGCATTAGCAATACAGTGGACCATCACAACCTCAAAATATCTTCTGTAATACAACCGGTCTCAACTTGAAGTCAAAACTGCAATAAAGATATTAAACAATATAAATAAGAATGTCATGAATTCCATGCACCTCCGCCAGTATAGAAGTAAAAGTATACTTCGAAGTAGAGTAAAAAGGCCATCATAGAGTCTATATTTTTGTATATACGTATTATGTTTATTGTAAGCATTTCTGTAATTTAATTAGAGTCCAAGTGGCGTCCACTCATGGAGGTCCTGAGATTTTCTACTGTTCGCCTTTATAATCTGCAGCACTGGCAGGAGCTGACAGTGCAAGAATTTTAGATTTTTGTTCCAATTCCAGGGGGGGGATGAGGAACCACAACAAGTGAGGTCAAATGGCAACCTGCACAACCCCAAAGGGTGGATGGATGACAACCAAATAGATGGGGATGGGGACCACAAGAGTCAGTCTTGTGCGATGAAAAGACGGATAAAATCCACAACCAAGCCGA